GTGTTGCGTCAAGGCTCCCCTCCTATTTGATAATCATAAAATACTTAAAATGTCTATACATTATATTTCAACACTATCTACTTTTAATGTCCTTTTGTAAAGCCACCAAGTAATTGCAATTGGTGTAATTACTAGGGTAGTAATTACGCATCCTAGTAATTACAAAGTATTATAATTACGACTATCCGTTTGTTTGTCATAATATAATTACAGTGTAATTACTAGTGTACTGTTTGATTGCACGACTGTAATTACACAATTAGATTAAATTATAAATATAAATCTAATTATCGAAAATTTAAAATTAAAATTTAATAGATATATTCCTTTATAAATAATATTAAATTTGACATTTAAGATAGATATTCTTTTTAAAAAATATATTAATTACAAATCATATATTTGTAACTAATATTATAAAATTAATTGATATATATTTTTAAAATTAATAATATTTTGCTTTAATCAATTATAAAATCTAAAAGTACAGATTTTGTAAGAACATCATGGACTGCATGCTTGATAAAATGATTAGTATTTAGAAATAAAATGATTACTCAAATCTTTTACAAAAAATAATCTATCAATTTTAACTGAAAAATAAATGACACGCAATCTAAATTAATAAGTGAATACTACTAAAGCAAATAAAATAGATGCAAAAATACAACATAAATTTAAAATCCAAAAAAATATAATACTCTTATGTAAAATTACAACATAACATAAAATAAGTTTCAACATAATTTAAGTAAATGTAATTCAAAAGAAAGGGAAAATATTAGTCTATAACCTCATTCAGCAATGAGATTCTACTTTAATGATATTACTCATTATATGTTAAGTTTATTAATGATTCAATATTTTTAATATTAGGAGGAGTAGTTTCAAAACTAGAATAACAACACAATTATGTTAAATGAAGAAAACAAATATGAGCAACTATATGGAATCATAAAAAATGAAGGTTAAAAAATGAGAATATTATTTGAATATTAAAAAGTAATCTATCATTTTAACTATTTTAACATAGTTAAGTTTGAATATAGCTTCATCCAATAACAAACTTTAACTTTAATGACATCACTCATTACAAGACAAGTTTATGGATAACTTCTTCTTTCTAAGATTATGGAGGTATTATTTTTTAGATAAATTAGAATAATAACATAGCTAAATATAATTTAAAAAAATAAAGAAAAATAATTAAGAAAGAAACAAAATATGAGAAATTTTGTAAAAACACGTGAAGTAAAGGTTGGGAAATGAGAAATAAGAAAATAAAAAAATAAATAATGTAAAAGCATATATTAAAAATAGAATTTAAAAAGGTAAAAAATTAAAAATTAAAAAGAAAAAATAATACAAATAAAAAGTAAATTAAAAAGAAAATAAAAGAGATTAAAAAAATAACTTGGTAATTACATCATGTAATTACTAACAATTCTCAGCTACCCCTCAAAATTATAGAGTATAATTATACCCAATTATATGCTGACCAGGTAATTACTTTGTTAGACAAATATGCCAAAATTAATTACATCCAATTACTGGATAACTTTCCAAACAGGCCTCAGAGCTTTTGAAAGATTCAAAAGGTGTGAAGATAATAGAGGAATGATCTTTACAAATTTGAGGATGGAAATTAATTAAGATTTGGCTCTCAGAAAAAGTATTTCACCACGGTAGCACTCAAAAAAGTGAAAGAGGTGCATTAGGACAAATGTTAGGAGGGCCTAGGGAGCACGAAAAAGGTATTTTCAGTCACATCCACCATCCAACTTTTGGCCTCAAGTTCTGTCTCATCCTTGAACCAGATATATCGGTATAAGTTGGAAAAAATTTATTTTGTCTCACACAACTAACGCTAGTTGTGTGAGACCTCTTTTTTGTCTCACTATTGTGTGGTTCTAGAATTTTGTGAACCCAAATATACAAGATATGGGTTCACAAATATGTGAGATAAAAAAAGAGGCCTCACACAACTATTATTGTTGTGACAAACCATAAAATCACTCGTATAAGTTGGATGTTAGTTCTAGTCTTTTCCCCATAGGCTGCTCAAGATTTTCAAAATCCTTCTCTGCACCATGTGGAATGTCTACTCACAAAGTAATTGTGTCCAGATTTATCTATTCACACACGCACACACAAAGACATACGTGTGCAGAAGTATACAAGCTACGACAGAGTTAATTGATTCCGAATGAATGAGATCTTAATATATTTACATTTTAATTTTTTCCATATTACATCTTTCAAGCCGAAATTCATATTACAAAAATGGTTGGTGCAATTACCTTCCTTTTCTGCGATAAGTGGTTCTATTGGTGTTTCGGATAATTTGGACAAAAAATTCTCTTCACAAGTCCTTTACTTATGCTTCTGATGAGGAGGATTTGTTAATAGAAACCACACCTTCTTACACTCTATGAAACAACCCTTGTCCTCCGTCAATGCTTACATGTTTGTCAAAGATTTGAGTCTTTAGTTCCTAGTTTATTTTAATCAAATATGTCTGAGTTACAATCTTATGTATGTAAGAGGGCTAAGCATATTATAAAGTAATATTTCTATAACGTATACTTATTATTTAAGTTAGTTCATTCAGATGCACGAGGCGTGCTCCTACTCTTTCTTTGTCAGGTTACAAGACTTTTTCATGATTAACAAAATGGATACTGGAATCTGGAAAAGAATGGAAAAGAGACCCAAAAGAGAAGGAACAATAGTAGAAAAATTATTGTTTGTACTTTTAATAGAAAAATTAAATTTGAGACATTCAACCATTATATCATCTTGAATAATAGTTTCTTAATTGTTTATGTGGGCTTGACATGATTAAACTGGTGCTTTTGCTCTTCTGGCTTAAAGAAACATGCTTTTATATTTCTTAGGCCTCCCCACTAAGGCAGGAGGGTAACACCAAAATGTGGTTCTTTTTGACTCAAAATACGGAAATAAGTGTTAAAAAAAAAGTTACTAAACTATATATAACGCCACAAAAAGTGGCGTTACAGTAACGGTAATTGCACCGTTACTGTATAGCGCCACTTTTTGTGGCGCTATATTAATTAAAGGCTGACATAGCGCCACTATTAATGGCGTTATACGCCTTATTAAAAATCTCTCCGTCTTCTTCTTCTTCGTTTCATCTCCATTATTTTACTCCGGTCCCCCCGATTCTGCCCCATTTTAAAAAAAAAAAAAAATGGGTCCCCCGGCACATAAAAGTTGAAGATTGGTGGTCCCACTTCGTGTTATTGTGGATTCACTCTTCCGGAGTCAAAATTTCAATCTATTTACATTCCGAAAATTCTAAATCGAGGTATTTCGATTTATTTTAAGTTGAAACTTTTATAACAATGCATATTACTTGATTTGTATGTGTTCTATTTCGGTTTGTGTTTATTTTTTCCGAAACTAGCATGTTAAATTTTATCCGGATTTAATTTTAGTGTTGTATAAAAATATGTAAATTAGT